CATTGCATCTCCACCCACCTCCCAGCATGCCCCAGGGCTTGGCCAACCTCCCAGCACACATTGCACCTTGGCCAACCTCCCAGCATGCCCCAGGGCTCAACCACTCTAAGACATCCCACTGCTTGGCAGCTCTCCCAGCATGCCTTGCAGCTCCCAGCATGCATCGTGCCTCACCTGCCCACCCAGCATGCCCCTGGGCTTGGCCAAACCCCCAGCATGTCTTGCACTTTAGCCAACCTCCCAGCATGCCCCAGGGCTCAACTGCCCTCCTAAGATGTCCTACTGCTTAGCAGCTCTCCCAGCATGCCTTGCAGCTCCCAGCATGCATCGTGCCTCACCTGCCCACCCAGCATGCCCCTGGGCTTGGCCAAACCCCCAGCATGTCTTGCACTTTAGCCAACCTCCCAGCATGCCCCAGGGCTCAACCACTCTAAGACATCCCACTGCTTGGCAGCTCTCCCAGCATGCCTTGCAGCTCCCAGCATGCATCGTGCCTCACCTGCCCACCCAGCATGCCCCTGGGCTTGGCCAAACCCCCAGCATGTCTTGCACTTTAGCCAACCTCCCAGCATGCCCCAGGGCTCAACCACTCTAAGACATCCCACTGCTTGGCAGCTCTCCCAGCATGCCTTGCAGCTCCCAGCATGCATCGTGCCTCACCTGCCCACCCAGCATGCCCCTGGGCTTGGCCAAACCCCCAGCATGTCTTGCACTTTAGCCAACCTCCCAGCATGCCCCAGGGCTCAACCACTCTAAGACATCCCACTGCTTGGCAGCTCTCCCAGCATGCCTTGCAGCTCCCAGCATGCATCGTGCCTCACCTGCCCACCCAGCATGCCCCTGGGCTTGGCCAAACCCCCAGCATGTCTTGCACTTTAGCCAACCTCCCAGCATGCCCCAGGGCTCAACCACTCTAAGACATCCCACTGCTTGGCAGCTCTCCCAGCATGCCTTGCAGCTCCCAGCATGCATCGTGCCTCACCTGCCCACCCAGCATGCCCCTGGGCTTGGCCAAACCCCCAGCATGTCTTGCACTTTAGCCAACCTCCCAGCATGCCCCAGGGCTCAACCACTCTAAGACATCCCACTGCTTGGCAGCTCTCCCAGCATGCCTTGCAGCTCCCAGCATGCATCGTGCCTCACCTGCCCACCCAGCATGCCCCTGGGCTTGGCCAAACCCCCAGGGGGCATCAATGGGGCGACAAGGAGGTGACAAAGAGGGCTGGCACTGCCCACACACCCCATGGCCCTGCGGGGACATGGGGGGCATCAATGGGGCGACAAGGAGGTGACAAAGAGGGCTGGCACTGCCCACACACCCCATGGCCCTGCGGGGACATGGGGGCATCAATGGGGCGACAAGGAGGTGACAAAGAGGGCTGGCACTGCCCACACACCCCATGGCCCTGCGGGGACACGGGCGCATCAACAGAGGAACAAACATGGGGCCATCACCACCCCACGTCCACGCGGGGGACAGAGGGGCACAAACAGGGAGGACGAGGACACGGTAGCAGGGGACATTCGGGGCTGCCACCGCCCACACCCACTTTGGACACCGCGAGGAGGACGTGCGACCCCAAAGCCTGGTGGCCCCCCTGCCCGGTCACCCCGGCCCACCTTCTCCTTGGTGAGGTCCTCGTCACCCTCGGGCTGCTCCACACCGAACTTGTGGTCCATCTCCTCGCCGCCCTCGCAGATGTTCTTGCCTTTGCAGAGGTCGTAGACGTGCGTCAGGCGCTTCTTGGGCTGCCCCTTGGACTTGCCCAGGATGTCCTTGATTTTGGGGTTGTTCTGGGGAAAACGCAACGCCGTCACAACAGGCTTGGCTTTAAGAGGGTTCCTTCCCGCTTTTTCGGGGCTTTGTCCCCCTCCGAGGAGGGTCCAGCTCCATCAGGAAGGGGGCGGCATCGATAAAGAAGCCCCACGGGAAGGATCAACCCCTTCGGCATCTCCTCCTTGTCCTCCCCAGCCCTTCGGCCTCATCCCAAAGGGTATTTTTAGGGGGCAGATTCGACCCTTTTGCTGTAAAAGGTGCCGAAAACAACCCTCTAAATCCACAGCCAACGGGCTCACCGAGTCCACCAGGAGCTTGGAGCAGAAGAAGCAAACGCAGCGCAAGATCTTCATGGTTTTGCCCAAAAAGCCCACGTGGAAGACGGGCTTGGCCAGCTCGATGTGGCCAAAGTGGCCCGGGCACTCGGTCATGTTACCTGCGGAGAGAACGGGTGCCCCGTCACCCTGCAGGTCCTCACGGGGCGGCTGAGGCTTTGGGTGGGGAGACCCCAAACCCTCCAGTTCTGTGGCCTGGTTGTAGGATCTTTCCCCAAAACGTTCCTGAGAAGTTCTAAACTGACCTAAAATGTTCTCACGTAGAATAAAACAGCTTAGGATAAAAAACGACACAAATACTTTCACACGTCTTGCTTTTTTTTTGGTCTGAAACATAATACAGCGTCTCCAAAGAGCGAATTGCCCCCCAAAGTAGCCCAGAAAAGCTCTAAATGCAAAGGAGACACTTCCGAACGGGACAGGACAACTCGGGACGGGGACTCTTGAGGAAAAATGGGTGCCCGGAGGCACCTCCGACTTTTCCGGCCTGCATGTTAACACCAAAGGTGTCCCCAAAGAGCAGATCGGCCCCCAAAAGTATCCTGGAGCAGCTCTAAAATGAGGCGAGACGTTCCCTTGCGGGACAAGGCAGGTTGGGACGGAAAACCGAGATGCTAAAGGAAGGAAACTGCTGCTTTGAGGCGTCTCCCGCTTCTCCATCAAAAACAGGACCCCTGGGACATCCCCAAAGAACAAATTGTCTCCCAAAAATGCACCAGGGAGGCTCTAAATCAAGGAGAGCTGCTTCCACATGGGACAAAGCAACTTGGCATGGGGAACCACCACGGTTCGAGGAAAGAAACTGCTGTTTCGAGGCATCTCCTGTTTTTCTGGCGGAAAGGGGACACCGAGAACATCCCTAAAGAACAAATCGTCACCCAAAAGGCCCCAGAGCGTCTCTAAATCAAGGCGAGACGCTGTCGCTCAGCACAGGTCAGTTTGGGACAGGGAATCGCCTGCCCTAAGGCGTCTCCATCCCCCTTTCCAGCCCAAAATAACACCCAAACCACCCCCCCGCCCCCACCAGATCCTGCCACACTCCTGACACAGCCCTGGGAAGCAGAAGGAGGTCATGGGGGGCCACCACTCACCCGCGCAGGTCTGGCAGCGCCCCGTCCTCTCGATGACGCCCTGGCGGGGGTCCATGAGGCCCCCCAGCTTGGGGCGCCCCCCCTCCGTGGTCTCGGGGTACTTGATGCCCCCTTCGGTCACCGACATGCGTTTCTGCGAAGGCGGGGGGGGAGAAAACGGGTTAGGGGAAACTGAGGCACGGAGGGCGAAATCCCATCTCCCAAGCTGGTCTCCTGTTTTCGGGGGGCCTCAGGGCCTCCCCCCAACCCCACAGGCACCCCAAACCCCTGCTCTTTTGCCTTTTAGTCCTTTGCAAAGCGCAATTTTAACCCCGCCGCGGCCACGGGGACAGGGCGAGCGCAGGGTTAAACCCGCCAGAGACAAGCCCCAGCCCAGCTCCACCCCGGAGAAGAACCCGGAAATGCCGGGACAGCGGCTGCTCTTCCCCGTCCTTGCACCCCCCTTTTTCCCTCCCCCCGAAACCAACTCCTACCCCGGGATCTGCCAAGCCCCATCCCGGCGCCTATGCACCCTCCCTTCACCCCCCCACCCAAGGGCCACCCAGCCCCTCTGCCCTAACGTCCCCAAATCAGTGCCCCCAGACCCTGGGGCGTCCCTAATCGCCGCCGTGCTCCCCCAGGTGGCCCTGAGACACCTCCAAAGCAGCTCCAAATAATCCCCCCGCCACCCTGGCCCTCCCCAGGGCACCTCAATGCACCTTCCAGGCACTCCCAAGGACCCGCTACCCACCCTAGGGCACCCCTGGGCATCCCAACAGACCTTCCAGGGCACCCCGGCTACCCCAAGAGAGCTTCCAGGTGTCCCAGGGCATGCCCAGGACACCCTCAGCCATCTCAGTGGACCTACCAGGTACGGCAGGGAACCCCAAAACAACTTCCAGGTGCCCCAGGGTACCCCAATGGCTCCCCAGAGCACCCCTGGCCACCTCAATGTCTCTTCTAGGTGCCCGAGGACACCCCGGCCACCTCGATATACCTTCTGAGCACCCCCAGGAGCCTCAATGTCTCTTCTAGGTGCCCGAGGACACCCCGGCCACCTCGATATACCTTCTGAGCACCCCCAGGAGCCTCAATGGACCCCCAGGACACCCCAGCCACCCCAGTGTACCTTCCAAGCACCCCAAGGCACCTCTGGCCACCCCAGTGTACCTTCCAAGCACCCTAGGGAGCTCCAATGGACCCCTGAGACAACCCTAGACATCCCAATACACCTTCCAGGTGCCCGAGGACACCTCCGGCCACCTCAGCGTACCTTCCAGGCACCCCCAGGAGCCTCAATGGACCCCCTAGACACCCCAATGTGCCTTCCAAGTGCCCCAGGAGCCCCAATGGACCCCCAAGACACCCCAATGTACCTCCCAAGCACCCCAGGAGCCCCAATGGACCCCCAGGACACCCCAATGTACCTTCCAAGTGCCCCAGGAAGCCCCAATAGACCCCCAGGACACCCCAATGTACCTTCCAAG